TGACTACAATTTTTTATTTTTAAAGGCACTCTCGTATTTTTTACTTTATTCAGAGGATCATATGTCAACTTTAGACATTTTCACTTAAAATTTCAATCTAGAGTGCCATGGCTGTGTTAAAAACACAAATTTTTAATCAAGGAGCTTTGGAAAAATTGGTTTGATCGTCTAATGTTTTTAGTGTCTTGTCCTGACCGGTTAAAAGATGCCCAATCGTATTTTTAATCATATCTCAATTTTTTCAAAGGGAACGGGGGTGGCTCATTGGTATATCTCGAAAAGGCACTTTTTACAAATAATTTGGTACCACACACTTTTAGAATTAGAATTCTAATTCTAAAAAATTCTACCACACACTTGGTATTTCGAGTCAAATTGTCGTTATGAATCGCATGTTGCAATTTCAAATAAACCATATTCGAGAATGTTAAAAGTTGACATATGATACGTCATTCTATTCATATTGTCATTTTGTGAGTGTGCCATTAGAAAATTAAAAGTTGTAGTCATTTCCGGTGAAACCGGAAGTGGTCGAAAAGAATTGAATACGTCAATCCATCCTAATTTATGTCATATACTAACATACCAAATCTCGTTTTTTATTTGAAAAAATAAAAAAAAAAGTTATAGGGGTAAACCACTTTTGGGACGAACCCGGTATATAATAATGAAATGACAACTACTATTTTTTTTCTAACAGGAAGCAATTTTAATAAATAATACTCCATTCAAAGTCTACCTGAACATTTCTGAGCTTAGTTTAGAAGAAGAATATATTATGCATTCTTGAGTAAAAGTAAAATTACCGGCTGATAGAAACGGAAATCAAATTTGCACAGAGAAATGTGCAGGTTCCTGCATGACACGAGCTGTTCATAGGAAGCATATCGAAGCAGATTACAAAGACGTGTAAAACAAAATTGCGCGTGTGCTGCTGGGGGAATGATTTAATTATTTAGTTCCTTGAAATTAAGGCTCCATTCGCTTGAGCGTGACAAATTTGGGCTTACGTCGATATTATGTGTTCGAATTCCGACATATTTTGCATATTTTACTATTATTCGACCCGCACCTTGCAGTTTCCTATTTTAATAAATTGTTAATCGACATTTAATTTACCTGGCGTTTACGAATATTAATTGTAAAAGTGAAAATATGCTATATAAGAGTCAATTTTACTACTCCGAAAAAGTTCCAAAATAATCGATCAGCATTTCTTCTTCTTGTAGTACCATCTTCTAATGAAGGGTGACAACAATCCCGGCGAAACATTGTCTGTCCTGTGCAGCTCGAAACAGTTCGTGTGAGTTCAGTCCAGTCCAGTCTCGTAAGTTTTTCAACCAAGAGTGCTTGCGTCTCCCAAGTCCTCTTCTGCCTTCTATCTTTCCCTCCATAATCAACTTCGCAGAAGCTTTGCTCTGCTATTGCGCATGACATGACCCAGGTATGCTGTCTTTCGTTTTTTTTATATTTGCAAGTAATTTCCTCTCCTTGTTAAGTCTTCCAAGAACCTCTTCATTGCGTACATGATCTGTCCAGGGTATTTTCAAGAGTCTTCTGTAGATCCACATTTCAAAAGCTTCCAACCGTCTCATGGTGTTCATTTTAATCGTCCATGTCTCGTAGGAGGATTGAGTATACATAACAATGGACAAAACGCAGACGTATGTTGATGTTGAGTGATCGGTTACATAATAGGTTTCTCATTTTGTTAAACATTGACCTAGCTTGTTCTATACGCGATGTAACTTCTAAGTCGGGGTCAAGGTCTGATGTTAGCCAGGATGTAATGAAGTTCATAAATTTTGGGGCTCATTTCTGGGACACCCCGTATACTGTACTTAAATAATAGGGACCTTTTCTGTAAACAAGGTTAGGCAATGTATTTTATTGTTAACTCATTATGGTAATGAACTTCATTAATGTTCTTACTGTTGAATTAAATGCGTTAGATATTTGATGACCATATTGTAATAGAGTTTTGATCGGCGTTACTCGCTATAGTTCGGTACGGCAGCCGAGAAGCTGGCCCTACCAGTACCGGTCGAGTGGAGGGGAGGGTCGTTTGAGTATACCCTGGCAGCGAGAGCGCCAGGTAGTTAGTTGTGTGGTCGCACGTGAACATGAAGTTCGAGCCCGGAGTGCCCTGCCAAGTACCCTGCTGCCAGCCGCCGTTGCCGCTCTGAAGAAGGTAAGTCCAGCCGCCAAAGTGATCGAGAGTAGGTCGTTTTCTTTTTATTGTTAATACGGTTTGTTTTACTGCCTAAACGCGTTATAGAATAAGGGAGATAGAGATAGTTAAATTCGCTCCAGGTGTCTCGTGTCCTACTGTAGAAGTAAAAATACGTGCAAGGTAGAGGCATCTTGTTCCGAAACGCGCGTACGTAAAATTTAACCAGACTTGTATCCGCTCAAGGTGTCAACTGTCCTACTATAGAAGTAAAAATACATGCAAGGTTGAGGCATTTTGTCCGGATCCCGTGGACGCGAAGACCGATTTCTTTTGGTTAAAAGGGAGACAGATAGCGGTTAAGGTAGTACAACAAATATACGGGCGCGAATATCCTTGGAGCTAAGGCAGGATCTCGTCCATCCCGAGACTGGTTCTGTAGTTCCCGTATTCTCATCAGGAGCGCCGTGGGATCTCGCCGACATCCCGAGGTGGTCCTGACCGGGCGGTGTGGACTGTGCTTATCCAGACGACTAACCGAGACGCCGTTTCGTTCTACTGCGAACGATCCAGGGCTCGCGTGCGTACCTATCCCACAGGACTCCGTTTCGTTCTGCGAACGATCCAGGGCTCGCGTGCGTATCTATCCCACAGGACGCCGTCTCGTTCTACTGCGAACGATTCAGGGCTCGGTGCGTATTTATCCCACAGGACGCCGTTTCGTTCTGCGAACGATCCAGGGCTCGCGTGCGTACCTATCCACAGGACGCCGTTTCGTTCTACTGCGAACGATCCAGGGCTCGCGTTTGTTTATCCCGGGACGTCTGTAACTTGACGTCGCCGACGTTAGAAAGATCGATTTATAAAAATTATGTCGCTCCGGTACGTACATTCTGTGTTTACTAGGACGCCGTTAAGTTAGACGCCGGTTAGAAACTCGCGTCGTTTTATTTACTAGAACGTCATGTCAAAAACGCGCTTTGAATTCGCGTGATAAAATCGGACAGTGAGTTGCATATCGAGATTATACGGTCAAAACTCTAGAGGTGCTCGATTGTTGTTGTAAATTTTATTTTACGAGTCATTAACTATAAATTTTCTTTCACTTTCACTACAATGTAAAGTCGTGAAACTTCCTGGGGTATTTAGCATATAGTTAATTAATTAAATAAAGCCTTAATGTTATGTTATAGTTAACTGTGTGTTTTATTTCTTTTCATTTCATCACTCCCTGGTATCTCCACTGTATAAAAGCTACCCGTATTGGCGAAACGTGGTCCTCTTCCACTATAAATAACAGAGGTGGCGCCCGAGAGATTTAAATTTCCTACTGTACGCCAGTAAGGCTATTTATTTTTCACTGAACCAAAGAAAAATAAATTGAGACTCTTACAAGGATTCTAGGTATTTGAACTTATTTACCGTGTCTACGCATTGTCCGTATACTCGTATGTTGGGTGGTGGAATATTTCTCCTACTAACTACCATTATCTTGGTTTTTGCGGTGTTTATTTTAAGGCCCAATGGATCTCCCGCCCGAACTATGTGGTCTAGAAGTTCTTGAAGAGCCTCAGGGTTGTCAGCGATAATCGCGGTGTCGTCTGCATACCTAAGGTTAATTGGGACGCCACTTATTTTTATGCCAATGCCTTTATCTTGTAGGGCCTTATCGAATATATATCTGAAGTATATATTAAACAACAAGGGAGACAGTACACATCCCTGACGAACTCCACGTTGTACTGGTATTTAGTCTGTTTCGTCTTGCCCCTAACCTTATGTAGCATGCTGTCTGATTCCAATATAGTGTTTTTAAGAATTGGATATCGTTCTTGTCTAGACCTTTTTCTTGCAAGATGTTAAACAGCACTGTGTGTTCTACTTTATCAAAGGCCTTTCGTAGTCGCTGGAGTAAAATGTATACGTCTTTTTGTTGGTCTCTACATTTCTGTGAAACAGACAGCAAAATAAAACACTAAATCACCACAATACACAAAACACTTTTTACTTTTACACTGGACGCGCGTTTCGCTAACCATGTTAGCATCATCAGCAGATGATTATAAACTGAAGTTAGTTGGTGTATTGTGGTGATTTAGTGTTTTCATTTTGCTACTGTAACCTAAAGAGTTCAAACCTCAACTATAATCTTCAGACTGAACAGGCCAAACATTGCTTCCCTGGTCCCCATTCCTTCTCGAAAGTCAAATGGGCGTCATCTAAATCAATTTCACATTTTTTGAATATTCTGTGTTGAATTATTTTAAGAAGTAGTTTTAAAACATGAGTCATTAGGCTTATTAATCTGAAGTGTTCGCATCTTTTTGCGGTGTTATTTTTTGGGATAGGGACAAAAATTGACTTCAGCCAATCTTGTGGGATCTCACTGCTTTTGTAGATTTGGTTTAACAGTCTAGTTAGCATAGGAATGTTTTCTTCATTTATCAGTTTGAGCATTTCAACATGTACTTCATCCGGGCCGCAGGCTTTTCCTACTTTACTATTTCTTATAGCTCTCTCCACTTCTGAAGTTAAGATATCAGGTGCCTCTTCAAATCCATTTTTGATGTTGAATACTCTAGGGATTTGCGGTGCGAACAGTTCTTCCACATATTGTTCCCAGTGCTTGCAAACTTGATTTGCTTCCATTATAGGTTGATTGTTATTACCTACTAATTTATTTGTAAAGCATTGTCTTCCTTGTCCTGTCAATTCTTTGACTTTCTTATACATTGCAAAATAGTCGTGTCTTTGTTCTAGTTCTTCCACCTCCATACATATTGTTTTCATCCATTGTTCCTTTGCATCCTTAATCATACTTCTTATTTGTTTATCTAATTTTTTGTATAGATGTGTCTTTATTCTTGTATGATCTTCTCCTATCCATCATCCGTAGTATTTCCTCGGTCATCCATTCTTTTTTCTTTTTTGTTTCTTTTGGGCCTATGACTTCTTTTTCTATGGCGACAATTGCGTTCTTCAGGGTGTCCCAATCTTGCTCTATACTATTTCCAAAATCGTGGGTGTTTATGGCTGCTAGTTTCTGATTTACTATGTCTTTGACCTCAGATTGTTTAGGTAAATGTCGAAGCTTGGTAATATCAACTGTTGTAGGTCGTTTGGTTTTAAGTTTTTTGAGCCGCACATCTAAGGTTCCTACAATGGGGTTGTGGTCAGGAGCCTACGTCAGTAGCGGGATATGTCCTGACACCCGCGAATCATTCCTAAATCTATCGTGAATAAGGATAAAATCTATTGGGTTTCTGACAATATTTGGTTTGCTGTGTTGTGGTGACTGCCAAGTGTAGAGTCTTCGGGGTGGAAGTTTAAACCAGGTATTCGTTACGATGAAGCTTTCTTCCTGACAGAATTGTATTAATGTATCGCCTCGTTCATTGCGTTCTCCTAAGCCGTACTCGCCAACAATATTTTCGACTCAGCCCCTCCCTATCTTAGCGTTAAAATCACCTAGTATTATAGTGACTTCATTTTTTTTAGTGTATTTTAAGAGAGCTTTTAATTCTTTGTAAAATTTCAGCATTTAACGTTTTTTTGGAAAACTAGCTAGGTATTTTTACACAAATTAAAGATAAAGGATTATTTTTTAGACAACTTCTTTATTTTTAAGATTTTGAAAGTTATTTTTAAAACATCGAGAAAATATTTCTTATGTTTGGACTAAATTTTCTCGAAAATAAAGACATAATGTAAAATTCCGTTACAATACGGAAATAGATTGAAGTTTTGTGATTACAGTGATGTATAATTTATATGGTTTTGTAACAAATTGCTCGCAATGTTATGGCAAATGCTGAAGCTCTGCAAACCGTAATCAAGACTTAATTAAAGCACCTGTGTTTGGAGTTTTGGGTGTGGCTTAGCACGACAGAAAATATGAAAATCTGTCATCAGTAGAGTTTGAAAATATTTATACTAAAATTTATGTAGGGGTGAGGTAGTTTAACCTTTCCCGTGCTTTTCTTGATCTTTTGTGAAAGTCGAATGTTAAAGCACTTACCAGAACACAGACACCCAAAATCTCATTCAAATCGGAATAACGGTTCTTATAATATATGAAAAAATATGTTAGTTTGATGCCCTCTAGCGGAAAAACGAAGCACTTTTGTATAAAGATAAATTGTGTCCAATGAACTTAGTTTGATTCCAAAAATACGTGGTGGTTCTATCTCCACGGAATATTGGGACACCCTCTATAAAATATAAAGAAATTTATCATAAGAACTAATTTATCTTACTACTAATCTAGTATCGTAGAGCTCAGGATTTTTCTCAGTAATAATATTTAGATATAATTAGAAAACTTCAAATCACAGTTTGTACGTTTATTCTGATGTGTGTTTCAGTAAAAAATATTACCTCCAGTTCACTTATTTTGTATAATCAAAAGTTGGGAAACAAACATATTATTATACTAAAAATTGTACAAGTTTATATTCCAAATTGGAAAATAACTCAAAAAGTTGTAATTTCGGACTTTATTTACCATGAAAAGTTCATAAAGCTGGAATTTCACGTTAGAGTTGGGAATTTGGACAAGGGAAAATTTAATTTTAACTCTCTTTTAGTATGTCATGCAAAAAGTGGAGCTTTTTCGAGATGGTGCAGGATTATGTACAAAGTTTGATAACTTGTAAAACATGTTACAGTAAAAAATGAAATTTGAAAAGTTTGGTTTGGTTTCGGCCACATAACTATAGACATTATTGTCTCATTATTTAATCATTTACATCCTAATTTTTTTATAAAATATCTTCAGTTCAAATCTAAAGACAAAAGAGACTTATTTTTTTTACTGCTAGTACTCTTTAATAAATATATAATTTTTATTTCTTGTAAATAATAGTTATTTTTGGTACTAGTGTGTAGAACAGCAGAACTGTTTCCTGTACAATCTATAAAGAATAATTGATTTAAAAGGATCTACCAGTTCTACTTTCATTGTTGCGAATTAATAAATTATTAGGCTGCGTTTATGTTACTATGCAATATAGATGTGCGTTTTTGGTTTTTTTGTAAATAATAAATGGCACTGACATTAAGACGTCATTTAGATAAATCGCGATTTGTTAGCGATAAAATAGTGAATTATCAACCAGCAAGTCAGATTTTAAAGAAAAATGATTCAGGAAGATCTTAAGCAAGTACTTGGGCCTACAACATCCTAAGCAATACACTGGCCATTGTATGAGACGATCATTACTGGCAAATGCAGGAGTGAACATGACAACGTTAAAAAGACACGGAGGATGGCGATCTGCAACGGTTGCTGAAGGATATATCAAAGAGTCCATCAACAATAAAATAGAGATTGCGAAAAAGATTCAACGTGCTGTAAGTGTTCCAGAACGAGCCGTTGTAATGACAGAGCCTATTTCAGGTTTTCAGCTGAGCAGTTCTCAGGTTTTGCAATTTCTGAATCTACAAAAAAAATTCATGTAATTTATTATAACCTTTGACATTTGAAAGTTACATACATATGTTACATAAACTACACCCTCTACATAAACTACATTAACTACATGTAATGTAGTTTATGTAGTTTTTAAAAGTAACATGTAGTTTTCCGAACCCTGCGTGTGAGCGCCAAACTTGCCGATGTTTACACAGTGGGCACTGGTGGGGATACTTGCCAAGTACGCAAAGATTGGCGTACTTAGCAAATAAACAATTCTTGATAGTTAAGAGTGCGCCTTAAGGGTAAACAATTTAAAATGCACTGCCTTCGCCGCCATATGGAGGGGGTGGTGCAAGGAAGACACTGGATTTAGGTTTATTTCTCTTTTGCTCGCGTCTGCGTATATCGCTGGCGGTAACAATGAAATATTGAAAATCGGGATTTGTTTTATTTATACTTTCCTATTAATTTTGAAACTAGCGGTAGCGATATTAAGCTGATAAGAATAGATATATTTTGATCTGTGTTAAAGGTTGAGAAGAAGATCACAATGGTAAAAACGTCCGCCGTCTGAGTTCTGATGGTATTGGTTACAACATTTTTTTCTTGTGGGAGTGTGTGGGGGGGTATTTTTGGTGTTATTTATGTCATTATAAGTGTTCCTCTTCTCAATTCTGCTTAGAAAATTTTGATGTACAACTTAACAAGTATAGCTAGAGACGTGAGAAATATAAAATAAGAGACGCCCCTCGATGCGCAGTGGACATCCCACAAATTTGCTTCAATCATATTTTTCGTAGCGTAACTGCATCTCTCTTCCGCCGAATGCGTTCTCTCTTTATATTATGATTTACACAATCGAAAGCCTTAGAGAAATCACAGAAAATTGTAGCTGTAGAGTGATGGTTATTCAGGCTAGAGTATACATTATTAAAAAGGTCAAACATAGCATCATTTGTGCAACTGTTACTTAGAAATCCAAATTGATGAGTAGTAAGTATTTTATATTTAAGGAGAAAAGATAGAAACATTTTTTTAACCAATCTTTCAATGATCTTAGATAATGTGGGCAGGAGTGCAATTGGGCGATAGTTCGAAGCTTCATCTTTATCACCTCCTTTATACAGAGGAATAATTATTGCTGTCTTAAGACAGTTTGGAAAAACTCCTTTTTGGAATGACTCGTTAATTAAAGTAGTAAGATGGTTTAATATGCATTCAGGAAGTTCAGAGAACATTTTGAGAGTAAGCCCATCGTTTAATAACTATAACTTTTTTAAATTATTCATTTCGGACAATAAATTAAAAAAAAACGTACGATTCAATGTATTATTCTGAAACTCAATTTCAAATCTGACAGATTAAAATATTTCCGCAATTTTTGTTCAAAAATCATCAGAAATTACGTGTGTCCAATAATTTAAAAATTTGGAACAATGCAGATTTAAAATCACAGATTAGCCTTTTCAGATTTTACTTGTGCTGGTAGTGGTATTTTACAAAAAATACCCTAACATTAAAAAAAATATTTAGTCAAAATATAACAGGCGAATCATACGGAGTGGAAGTTCTAAGCAGAACGAAAGTTTGTATTAAAATGTATTTGTAACTTCCTGTATACTCCCAAAGTGGATATAGGACTACTATGTATTTTTGAAATGAAAATATAGTCTGTCCAACGAGAAGATCCTTGACAGTGATAGATGTGTCTGTCATTTTAATTTCAAAGTAGTTTATTTTATTTTACAAAGAAATAAGTTGGTACAACTGGAACGCATAGCAGGAAATTAATATATGTATTTAAAATTTGACTGACAAGTAACTTCAAAATATTGTGAAAAAAACTGTATAAAACTGAAAAAATGTAATCGAGTTATTTTATTTGATAAAAAACGGCATGTGTTAATACAAAACAAACAAAAACAATACACCACATACCAAAAAATATAAAAAAGAACTATTTCTTACTTTCAAGCTTTATGAAACTTCCCGCATTTATGATTATATTTATCAATATAACTTATGTACAAATACAAATTTGTAATATTCCGCAGGAATAAATAAAACAAAATAAATAAAACAAACTATTTTATTAATAATAACACTTACCAAATTTTATACCTCACAGGTTGATTAATTAACTTTAATCTTAATTTTTTTAAACCAGTACCTTTTGACATTATTTTTCTGCAGTACTAAAATCCATTATTTTACCTATCGTGTGATGTCGATATTTTACAGCTACTCCAGTTTTTAGTATGGGTTTAGTATGGTCCTTCTACCATATTCGTGATGCACTTATCTACGACGAGATGGTATACGAACTTTATTGATAGTAACTTTATTGGTGTATCTGTATAAGACTTGCCTGGGCACGAGTATTAACCATAAACTGTTCTCTGGGTCTACAGTTAATTTTCCTCTGATTTTTCCTCCACTTGACTTCAAAGACACAAACACACGTAATAACACGAATCAAAATGCATCATCTTCCAAAACGCAGGGTATTTGACAAAAGTTGTCATAAAATTATAACCTATAATTTGACAAGACTTTGACAAACGTCAAAAATCTAAAGGCGAGTTCATACGCATCGGCGTCCGTTTGTCGTTTATCGTTCCGTCAAACCAATAAAATTGAAATACGATCTGTCATTTTTGAAATAAACCAATAGAACTGGTTAAAAACAATAAGTGACGACGCATGACGAATTTATATTTAAACAAAGATTTAAACCCATCCATAGTTAACTTAAAAATTATTAG